GCTCACCTTTCTCTTCTTCGTGGTGGAGGTGGTGGTGAGCCGGGTCACGTCGTCGCTGGCCATGCTCTCCGACTCCTTCCACATGCTCTCCGATGTCATGGCCCTGGTCGTGGCACTGGTGGCCGTGCGCTTCGCCCAGCGCACCCGCGCCACCAAGAAGAACACCTTCGGGTGGGTGCGGGCCGAGGTGATGGGCGCCCTCGTCAATGCCGTCTTCCTCACCGCCCTCTGCTTCACCATCCTGCTGGAGGCCATTGAGCGCTTCACGGAGCCCCACGAGATCCAGCAGCCGCTGGTGGTCATCGGTGTCGGGGTGGCGGGACTCATCATCAACCTGCTGGGGCTCTGTCTCTTCAACCATCACGGCGTCGGAGGCCATGGCCATTCCCACGGCCACGGGCACTCGCACAGTGGCAGGCAGCACTCTCGCAGTGGCCCCAAGCCCGAGCAGCCACCCGGGGACGGGGAGGCTGCGCTGCACCGGGAGGAGACCAGCACCTTAGTGGAGAACTGCAGCAGCTCCAATGGAGTCAGTCAGGAGAAGCTGGGTAAGTCCTGTGGCATCTCTGTCCTGTCTCAGCATAGCCGTGTCAAGAAAGCAGGAGAGGTCCCTTCCCTGAGGAAGGTGGTGGGCATCCTGGTCCCACCTGGTGCAAGCTTCGTGGGGACCACCCGGCCTTCCTCCTGGGGAAGAGGCAAGAAACTCTCTTAGCGGTGCTCTGGGGCACAGGGCCGTTGCGCCTCTACCTCATGCCTTTCCTTCAAGTGCTGAAAGGACTTCCCTAAGTGGTGTGTTCATCTTGCAGACAGGTTAGAGTATGGAAGAGTCTTAGGGTAAGCAGTTTGCCTTGGAAAAAGTTGGTGCTGGTAGAGAAAGCACATGACAAGTGTTTTTTTGCCTGGCGACACAAGGTGTCACAAGATGTTGCCCAAATGCCTTCTGAACTGGCTGCGCATCAAATGGAGCGCAGCTCAACACCTTGGTCCTGACAGCCAAATCTCTCTGTTGGGTCGGTTATCAGCTACCCGAGAAGCTAATCTCCATCTGAACATAACTGAAGTATATTCCATTGCAATAATGTGGTACTTTTTCATGACATCCGTATTAATAGGAAGAAGTCTTGGAAATTACCAGTCAGAACCGTGGAAGTCGTGCAGTAGGCACTGAATGTGGAGCTCCCTGGTGTCAGAGTACATGCGTGGTTTCTTCAGATTAGTTTTCTTTAGCTTTCTAAAGCATGCACCTTCCCACTCGCTTGCACATAGAGATAAATTTAAAATCTTCCCTTCCCAATTGTGATCAAACTGTCTATTTTGTGGGAGGGAATTTCTTGGGCTAGTTTGTTTTAATGTATCCAGAAGCCTGGGTAGTTTATTTTGAAGTCACTTGGTCGAAGGCAAGTACCGTGTGCTAGCTGAGTGAAAAGTGCATAATTGCTTTCTTGAAGTTAATCATATGGCATCCCTGTTACCAAGAGGAAGGGGTTTCAGTCTGCAGAACCCATGCCTCTCCTTTGTCTTCAGGGTGACGTGAGGAGGCCACTGAGTTTAAATTGAGCTTTAATTGAGCAGAGTGAACTTTGCTACAGTTTCGATTTTTCAGTAGTCAGTGAGGTTACAATAAACATTTGAGAAACTTAACAGTCTCTCTCTCTGTTTTGAAAAGACAGGTTTTGCAAGAGGATAGGAAAGTTCCTCTGAATGTAGCACACCATTTTCTTGACCGCATAATAAGCTCTTAATGTTGGTTTAGTTCCAACAGAGGTGTCCTAATAATTAGTTTCAAACAATGTAAAATTCCCTTAACTGTTAATCTGATAGTTATCTTGGCTTGTAAGTTGTTCTTGCATGGTGAAATATAGTGAAAAATTGTGCTTTTAGCCAAGTTTTGGGCTAGTTCTAGACTAAAAGCTTAACTTACAGCATGGGTTAAAATGTGGAGTTTTGAGCTAACTTGTCTGGAATTTCTCATGGATGTCCTTCTGGCAATAACAAATAATTTGTTGTGGGTATTTAGGTGGTAATAGGGCATAATTTTGGTCACAGTGAAACTTTGAAATAAGTTTGTATTTCCTTCTATGCCCTGTCATGATTATGTAATGAATGGAGTTATTCATAGTTTACCCATGAAAATGTTACAGGGGAAGGTGCCTGGAGACTTGTGAGAAGCTGTAAGATGTGTAGGTGAAGACTAGGGAGATGACTGAGAGTGGTACTATGCCTTCACTGGAAATTACAAAGAGGGGTAGGGTAGACCCTGATTTCCTAAGGTGGAAGTGGGAAGCTAGTGGTAGCCTTAGGGGCTAGTCCTGCACGGGTATCTTGGTGCATATACTTTATGTGAAATAATCAGTTTATAGTTCGATTTAAAAGAGCGTATTTCAAATGGACACGTTTTAACCGTTTGCCATTAAAAAATCTCAAGAGCTTTGTGGAACAGTGTTTCCTATTACCCGCCCTTGTAGACAGGTCTACTGACTTTCCAGATCTTTTCTCCAAGTACTTGGTATGGAGGAGAGTGACAGAAAAGTTCCTCTTTCCTTGCTGTCATTGTGGACCCTGAGGTCTGAACTCTGTAATCTGAGATATTTTCCTGTAATTTATTGATTTTTCTGGAAAGCTACAGGTCCCATATTCCTAGAGGTTGTTTGGAAAATGTAGCTGGAGCTTTAGGACAGAAGTGTGATGCACGATGTTATGAGCTTGGGGCTTGGTACTGACTTGCTCAGCTGCTTTCATAGGAGCCCACCCCTTCTTTATGATTGCAGAGTCGCAGTCATGAGAGCAGAGTGGCAGAAGCTGCAGGTCATGCTAACATGTTAATGTTTACAAAGCTCTGATCTGAATAAGCACGGAAGCAGTAAGAGCTCCTTGTTTCAGCTTGTTGGGCCAATGCCCATTACATTTCTTTAACACTGGAAGTTTTCTGTCCAAAGAAGAACTTTTGAAGAAAAAAAGGAGGTAAATCATGTAAAATAGTTTTGATTTGGAACATTGGAAGATGTTTTTCTTTCAAAAAACATTCTTCTTTGTGGTGATGTGTGCATTTATTCCGATATACCTAGTTAGGTGTGATGGACTGGTAATATCACAGTTAGTTTTGACAAAGGAGGGCACTAAAATATTTATGCATTGCATGGTCCATGACATGTGGCTTTGGGCATCAACAGCTATGTGTCACTCAACAGCTGTGTGAAGAAAAAAAAAAGGGGCACTAAAAATGTTTTCTGTGTATTTGGAAATATAAATAACTCGTTCGTAGCCTCTGAGAGCTTCAGTGATAACTTACATTGTCCTGTAGTCAATACTGCTGATAACTACTGCATTTTAGACCTAAAAGCTCAGCTCATTGTATCTCACAGTTCTTCTGGATCCATGCGCCATTTCAGAAAAACTTCCTTTTTCCTTGAATTCAGAAGGCTTTTGGAAATGAACTACTAAACCTGAGAAGTTACTGTAAAGCAGTATCCATACGGCTTTTGAGCTTCTGGCCTCATAAATTTTTATATAAAATAGCAATGCAGTCCTGTGGTTTGAGAGAGATTTTTAGCAATGTGATTAGCCTTCTGGCTTTTCAAAAGAGGGAACAAATGTAAGTTACGTAGCTACTTAACCAGCTTTTTAATATATGCTCTGTAATTCTGCATTTTGTTTAAGAAATGAGCAGCGAGTGCTCAAATGGTTAAACAGCTGGAAAAAGTGAAAACAGTTTTTCAGTAGAATAAATTAAAATGTGGTCCTCTTCATGCTTTGCCACTCTGCATCTTTAAGCTCCCTGTATAAACAATTGCCTTCCAGGCTATTTAGATCGCTTCTTGGGACAAGTGGGTATTTCTCAGCCAGAGAAAATGTTGGTAAGTGTGATGAGTAGTGTTGCTTGCTTTTCAGTTTCGTACTCAACACAGCAAGCTTAATGTTGGTTGGTTTTTTTTATATGGCCTTATAGTAGTGTGTAGTATTATAGCATATGCTTGATCATTTTACTGTTTTCTCTTCAGGTGATATGAAAGACGACATGCTTGACCTACAAGTCAACGGGAACGCTGGTCACTATCCTCTGGATGTAGAGGAGGTTGAAGAAGACTCTAGTGCACAGCTTAACATGCGTGGAGTTTTTCTGCATGTTTTTGGAGATGCCTTAGGTTCAGTAATTGTGGTAGTGAATGCCTTTCTCTTTTATGGGTTGTGGAATCCATGCCCCAAAGATGGGCCCTGCTTTAATCCATGTGTCAATAATCATTGTATGGAAAATGCTACTTTATCCCAAACACTTGGCAGAGCAAACAAGTCTGAGCAAGAGAGCATTACAGTGGCTGGTCCATGCTGGTTGCTATATTTAGATCCTGTCCTTTGTTTGATTATGGTTTGTATACTCCTTTACACAACTTACCCGTTACTTAGGGAGTCAGCCCTTATACTTCTACAGACTGTTCCCAAACAAATAGATGTTCATTCTTTGAACTCAAAATTACGTACCCTTGAAGGAGTTGAAGCAGTCCATGAATTACACATTTGGCAGCTAGCAGGCAGTAGGATCATTGGCACTGCTCACATCAAGTGTCCTGACCCTTCCACGTACATGATGGTGGCGAAGCGCATCAAAGAGATCTTTCATGACGAAGGGATTCATGCAACTACCATTCAGCCTGAGTTTGCCAGCGTTGGCTCTGAATCGGGGAGAGGGAAATGTGAGTTTCCTTGCAGGACTCAGTGTGCTTTGAAGCAGTGTTGCGGAACAGGAGAAGATAGTACTGCAAAGAAGACAGAAAAATCTTCGTCACTTAGTATTTCTTGTTCAGAAGTTGTCATTGAATTTCCGAAAACTAGGAGGACTAAGTCGGAGAGCATCCCTTCAGTTAAGCTAGAGGCAAACACCGATCAAAACGAGCAGTTTGAATCATCGTTGTAACTCCCTGAATGGTGCTACCTGAGTTTTGGTGACTTTGACAACAGCTGTATTGCAAGAGGAAGAGACAGACGTTGGAGACGCAATTTTGCCAAGTAGTGTAATTGCTGAAGTCCTTGTTCTTGTCATATTGCTAAATCTAGAATGCTTGTTTCAGAGAACATAATGTCACTGTCATGATACAATGTGTTTGTGTTGACTTTGTATTGAGACAGACAGAAAGTGCACCAGTGCTGTAACAACTTCAGAAAACCAGTTTCAACATTTCAGCAGAGACACTTTTTGCTGTGCTTCAGATTAAAATCTTTTTTTCCAGTGAAAAGGTATTTGAGGGATAAGCATGTAGGAACTCAGTTTGTGTTACAGATTTCTTGGACCTACTCTTTCCTTTAATATTTGATTTGTAGATATCTTAATATATTGTTTATTTAGAAGCCCTAAGGAAACCAAAGTTCATAGAACATTTTTAAAGGTATAACTACTTAAACCTGGAACACACTTTGCAGTTTCACGTATTTTTCTTAAACCTATATAACAGTAAATGTGAAGGCATTTCTAATTAATTTATCGTATAGCATATTTTAAAGAGAACATCAGGTGATTGTTAGAAACTGTCCCCACTTTTTTTCTGGTAAGGTAGTGAGGTAATTAAAATCGACTGCTTGTGAAAATATCAGATGTGAAAGATGTTTTTTTTTCTATCAGAATGCGAGTTCAAGCTACTGTATACTGCTCTGCGATCAAGACGTGAGACTGACCCATAAAGTAATGCATACTTTCATATTTTATGGATTTTCTGGTATTTTTCCTTATTTCCAAGTTGTGTCTGGTCATAAAAGTCTTTGAAGTTTAAAGAATTGTTGACTCACAGTGCTATGAGTGAAGAGCTAGAGCTTCTTTTTTAACTGATGCTCAGTTTACTAAGATAAAAGAATTAGTTATGTCAATAAACGCTCTGTCGGGGAAGGTCTGCGAAGCACCGACAGTATAATTCATGCTTTAAGCATAGACGGTCGCCTCCGTAACGAGTAACTCAGTGGTGCATTTTGCTTGTAGTTGGGCGTGTCTGTAAGCACTTGCAGTGACTGCAGTCCTGCTCCCTGCCGTGTCCTCAGGAGCCTTCCACCGACGGTTGAGGAGTGGGGCAGGGAGCAGGCTTTCATTCACTGTATTTTACACTTTGAGAAGTTTATGTAGCACATAATTTCACGTACTAAGTATCTGAATCTATGCTTTAAAATGTTAACTCAGTTAATTGACAACTGGCTCTAAAGAAGCTGTTACAGTATGCCACCGGCTTACACCTTGACAAAGGAGAAACTGGTCTATGGACTCTGTGAATTTGGCAGAGACTAGATGAGAGTTGAAGATAAAACATACAAGAAATCTAATCTAAAACCCTGACCCTTTCAATCCACACTCAAGTTATGTATGGGAAATAATGTCTCGTGATTTAATTGACTGCTCCTATGCTCAAAACTGGAAAACTCGGATCTTCCATTGTTTGCTCTATGACTCTGGACATGATAAACACTCTGCCTCAGTTTCCCTGTCTTAAAATGGGGATTAAAACCTACCTCACAGGGGTGTTGTGAGGCTTAACTCTTGTGTGAAGAGCTCTGAGATCTGTTACTGGAAGGCACTGGAAGGAGTATAAGATACTAAATGGTGTATACTTCTACAAATGTATTGCAATAACTAGGCACAACAGAGGGAACTGAGGATAGTTTTGGCCTTATGAAATTCTTTGATGCTGTGGTTTTCAGGTTTTTAACAGTATTTAAATATAGATTTTTTTAAAAAGAATGTTTTGTTAGTGAAGGGAATGTAGCTTTGCCTCTGGATACAGAACACGTCGCTAGTTTGCATTTCTAATGTGTCTCGTATGACAGTTGCTCCTAAGTAGTTCAAAATAGTCTGCTGCTCATCGAACCTGGGTTGGCTCAGGTCGTGCCAGTGGTCTTACCCAGCTTCTCAGCAGAGCATTGCAGTCAACTCTCGATTATCCATGGGTGGATTACCAGTGTTGTATATTAACTGTGCAGTCTACAGGGCCAGACTGGCTCTGTATCGCGTGCCAGTGCGTTGGCCAAGTGCTGTGTGCCAAAGCATTGGAAAAGTAGAGGAGCTCAGCCCAGCTTCGCGCGAGCCCCCTCCACAGGCTTTGTTAGCTTGGGTGCCGCGTCGCACCGTGCGGTTATTTTGCCTCTTGGCTGCTCAGATGCATCCAGAGGAAGCTGCGGTGCGTGGGTGGGTCGTCTCAGCTCTGCGCTAGCTTGGGGATGTCGGCGCTTCACAGCCATCAGCATCGCTCACCTTTTTCTATGTTTATGCTTGTTGTATAGTCTCATAAACTAACTTAAATATGTTAATATAGTATTTATAAATGTTTTTGTTTTGTCTGAATTATCTTAACTCTTTCTTCTGTTACCTGTATATGATCTAGAGTTGACTGTTAAATGAGATCTTGTATGAGACTACATTTGCAGAATATGCTACCACTGCTAGTATACTACAAAGTATTAACCAAGTAAATTTTGAAATGAACAAAGTACTATTTTTTTGGGAAATGTGTATCCTTGCTTTTTATGGTAGAGTTTCACTAATTGTTTCGCTCACTAGTTTGAAATTGGTCTCAGTCATTAGTATGAATTATTGAGGTCCTGCTGTATATCACTAATGCGTCATAGAACTACTGCTTTTTAGTTTATTAAAAAAAACAACAAAAAAAAACCCCAACAAACAAAACCAAGACAAACCATAGTAGCACTGAGAAGCCTGACTGACTTCTCTCCTCTTCCTCTTATAAAAAGAGAGCAACTATTAAGTCTTGACAGTTGCCACCATTGGGTAACAGTCTCAGTAAATGCGTCTGAATAGATGGAGTTGTGGTCACTAATTCCATTGTAACTATTTAATCTTTTTTTTTTTTTTTTTTTTTTTGCCAGAAGTCATATTTTTCTATTTCTGTGTCCATTGCAGGCAATGGCTACCTTAAAAGACAAAAATCTCTCCCCCATGTTATTTTTATTATCAGGACAGGATGCTGATGTGATGATGATGATGATGGGGACAGAAGGGGGAGTTGTGTGGCCTCTCTGTCATGTGCAGCACCAGCTGGTGTTAACGGGGCCCTTTAGTCTCTTTCGCCCTTGATGGTAAATTCCCTGAAAGCGTAAGTCAGGTCAAGGTGGTGGCTGTACAGCAGCAGGAACACAATTTCTTTGATTGTCCTGGCTGTATGAGACCCAACTGTAGCCTGCTAGCTTGCAATATAGCTTGACTTTTTTTAACCTGATCTCGCTGTGGTTACACAGACTTGATTTGTGCTGAAGATCACAGTTCCAGAATACTGGGAGCATTCAGAAGCACTGCGCCGTCTCTTTTTTTTTTTTTTTTCTTTCTGCAAAGCATGAAACTAGTGAATCTCATGTAAGTGAACACTGCAGTGGTGGGGAGCTAATTGTATTGTGTATCACATTCCTGAATTTTTAAAATAAAAAAAAATATGGAACACTGATTTTAAGGAAAAATAAGTTTGTATTTCAGTGTCTAGATTGTTTATGCTTCTGATTAAATGTCAGAGATGTACCGAACATCATTGGGTGAAGTATTTTACACTTAGTACATGTCTCATCAGAAACATGCTGTTTTAGAATCACTTCTTAGATTCTGTCTGCACCAAAGGTGCAGTGCAGAACTAATTCAGACACTCAGTGGGCTTGCCACAGTACCGTGGAGCTTTACTTTTTAGCAGAGTAAATTGTTTCTGTGGAACCCTGTGTAATTTTGGCTCAATTGCTTTCAACATCCACTATCTGTTTCAGCATCCAATACCTGTTATTGCTGCATTGTGGTATTCAGTATGGACGTACACATAGTTATGTAAAAGACAAAACTAGCCCCAACTTGTGACTCCCAAAAAGTCATGGCAAGGCCTCAGTCCTCTAAATTTCTGTATTCATGAATAGTTTCATCAGGCGGACGAGTAGTTACTTGCATGCAAGGAATTACTTGCGGGAGTGAGTCCAAAGCTTCTGCCAGTACGGCCTGGCTTTTGAAGAATGACTGAAAGTACCTAGATTTTATGGATGTATTAAAGTCAGGAGTACTGTGGTGTTTCTAAATTGGCTGCAGAAATACCATCAGCTTGTATAATTCAGGATTTATTCCTTTTCCCAATTCTCTAAAAAGAAGGAAGAAAAGCCCACTGAATGCCCTAAGACTTGTTAACAAGTTTAGCTAAACTGACGTGGCTGTTTGCTTCTGAAATTGGGCCATCTGAATTTATTAAACGCTGCCTAGTGGGGTTTGGGGAAGAGGGATAAAGATTCTTGCCATTCTCCTTCCCCTGCCCCCTGCTTCGACTGCACTTTCTAATCTCCTCAGCTATGGAGAGGCTGGGGGGGGATGAAGGGGGTGAATTTTGTAGCTAAATGTTCTGAGTTCCACGTGGAGGGAATGGGAAATGCTGCCATCTATATTTAAAAACGTATGAATATGCTCTATGACTATTTTAGTTTCATAGCATAGCATCAGTTACGCCCTTTTTAGGTATGCATTTAAGTTGTTGGGCTCTGTAGTAACTTTGGTTTTTTCTTTCTCTGCTGGAAGGGAAGAGGTGGATGCTCCATTTGCCTGAGCTGAAGCCAGTCTTGACAATTCTCCAAATCAAACGTAGCTTTGCTGATAACAGGAGGTCTGGTTACTCCCTGTGACCTTTGCTTTGTGCGGTTAGCTGCCTGTGAGGTACAGTACTGTGCTTTAGCAGGCTCACATTTAGATTTTTTTTTTTGCATTCACTGTGTTATCAAAGTAGTTGAAGAGCAAAACCACAATACTGAGAAATATTTCATCTACGTGTCTCCAAAAAGCACATGGGATTAATTTGGCTTCTTTTTTTTCATGTCTTGTTTCTGAGCAATGTTAAAACATAATTGGCATAGCTAGTGTTCATTGATGGTATTTCTTTTTGCCTTCTTTTAAAATAATAATGCAGGTTTGTTTTTTTCTTCTATTAAGTATTAAAGTCCTGAGAAAATAAATGGGGGTTTTGAATGTCAAATACTTTTAGTTGGGATTTCTTTCTCAAGTCAGTTCCTAGGAAGAAATTTGACTAGTAGAAAAGCACTTTTACCATCTCTCAGAACCTGAGACAAGTACAAAGATCACAAGTAGAAGAGGAGGTTAATAAATGGGTTATAAAGTGGTGGCCTCCAACTCTCTGGATTCCAGGTGCAATTAAAAGAACGGTTGCTCAGTTCTAGTACCATGTGAAGAGTTAATTATGCAAAATGCATTTTTTTCCTAAGAAAAACAGCCTTTGAAAAGAAAAAATCTTCCCATCCTGTTAATTGGCCATGATTAACAATAAGGCAGGCTTCCTAACAGAAGTCTGTACTGTTTTATTTAGTGCCTTTGGAAGACAGCTACTTCAGAGCAGAAGATGCTTTGGTGTTTTTCAGCTTCATTTGTTTCAATTCAGAAACTCTGCAGTTTGTAAAGTTTGTTGGGAGAAAAGTACTGGCTGCAGAAAGAGATACAGCTGCCAGCAGTAATACTGAGGAGGGCAGGATCATTGTTAATACCCGCCTTGAGCTGTTCATGAGCTTGCAATGATGAGTTAATTTTGGAGCCCTTCACTTTTTGCAGCTTCAGGAGGGAGAAGTGATTCCACGTTACTAGTTGCATATGCAGGAGGGGATGTTTGGTTGTACTGTAAGCATTGCAGATGAGCTTGAGTCTCTCCATTTTCCAAAGCTGCTCATCATGAAAAGAT